GCGGGAAGGCTGGGGGGCAGCGGTTATACCGGGGGGAGGCCGGGCGGGCAGAGGCCGTGCTGCGGGAAGGCCGGGCGGGCAGCGGTGATGCGTTAGTTTGTTGTTTGTTGTTTTAAATCAAGCACACACATTGACAGGAGCGTTGCGGTGTCGGAGCAGGACTGAACTCAGAAATGGCTGATCAGCTTTCAGAGAGATAAGTGGACACCGGCGTACTGCATCCCGCGGGACCGCGGAGACCCGATAAAACAGAAGCTGGTTTGTTTGGGGTGGGTTTTTTTGAGTCTATTTATGGGCCTATTCTTAGTGTTAAGCTGCTGATTCAAAACTCGTCTTGCTCTCTGTGACAGCTGGGGAAGCTGCAGGTCGTGAATAGTACCCGAAAACAGACGTGTGTTCTGGTGTGTGCGACGGCTGCCTGAGGAGAGGGGACCTGCACGGCACGTTTTTAAACATGAATCTTAGTGATGATTTTTTGTTTAGGTTCTATAAGAAACTTTTCTTACACAAAAGTAATTTGTCGAGTACGGCACATCTCTAACGTTATTCACAACCTAGGCTGTCTCCTCTGTCCTTAATGTCAACAGTCTGTTATCTGAAGTAAATGTTCCTGGCTACCTCTTAAGTGCTTTATAAAGCATTTACAAAATGTTTGGGACTCAGTGAATTTTGTAACAGATTAACAGCTGAACACATTGAGACAGAATGAGAGAGTAATCTTTCAAACTGTGTTTATAAGGTTCTCTTCTAGTCTTTCCCCTCATCCAAAATGAGTTGATCATGATGCTTGAATACAATTACCTTTTGGTCTTTTTGTCTGGTTCATGATCACCATGGGTTTACATTCAGGGTTTTATGGCTGAAGAAGTAGCTATAATCTTGCTAAATGACAAGTTAGTGCACTCGGGTAATGTATCTGAATTGCAATTTGGCATGCTGGGTCTCCATTTCCAAGAGCTAATACTAATGTCAAAGAAAAATGCTGTCTGTCTTGAAAACTCCATTTATTTCAAGGACCGCATGGACAGCAGGGAAAAATACTAGCTACAGAAGTAGGTAGGTTTTCCAGAAGAGAGAACGCTCACCAGAGGCTTTTGGTACTCTTCTGGACGCAGAAGGAAATGAGTCAGGATGTCTTGTATCTATGATGTTATTGCCAAGTGAGAGAGGAAGAAGTTTTCAGCAAGTGACTCTGTAATTCCAAAGGGACAGAAATTCCACTACTAAATAAATGTCCTGACAGCCTGTCTGCAAATTGTAGAGCTTGCTCAAACTTTCCTTTGGGTTCTGCAGAACATGTGCAATATTATGAGGAAGCTTTCAAATTCAGTGTAATGTGCAAGTGCCTTTCACAGAAGATAAACGTCTTTGGAGTCCAGGCTGTCCGCGCAGAATGATCTGATGCTACAGTATTCATGCTGGCATGTTTTCCAACTGACTTGGACTTCTTTTCATTTCAGAAATGGAAAATCCTGAAGTGGCTGTGAGCAGCTGCAGTGTTCATGATGATGAAAATCTTTGCAGCTACAAACAACACCTGTCAGTATCACAGGAGGGGCTGCTGGAAGACCAGCTTAGAAGGAAGTTAAAATTCTTCTTCATGAACCCATGTGAGAAATTCTGGGCCCGGGGCAGGAAGCCTTGGAAACTTGGGATTCAATTACTCAAAATAGCAATGGTTACTATTCAGGTGAGTAAGTGGGGAAGCAGGGACTCTTCTTAGCCCGTGGGAATTCAAATAAGGAGTGCAGGTGACAAATGCTGTTCTTGGTGTGGTGCAGAGACAGGGAGAGGATAGACTACAAAACTATTTTAATTGCATATACCTAGTTTAGATCTGAGATGGCGTAATTTTCTCCTAAAACTATTGACTGAAAGATCGCTTTCCTAAGAGCGGAGATGAACAGCACCATGTCTAAGGGTTCTGCTTTACTTTTTACTTTACTTTCTTTTTTCTTTCCCCTTTCCCCCTTCTCCTCCCCCCCAAAAAAAAGAAAAGGATGATGTCCTTACACATCTGTTCCCCTCAATACCTTCTTCACTCTGTGTTTGTGTTCGAGGGAAGGAACAGTTGCTTCTGTTTCAACATCACAGCTATAAGAACTGAAATTGGTAGCTTTTTCATGATGTTTGCTCATGCCTTGTGTATGGTATACAAACTCATGTATTGAAAAAAACAGAAATTTCGCCCCACTCTTCCTTGCACCCAGCCTTGCACCATAGATTTCATATAACACATTTATCTGCTGCCTAAAATGCAACCGTTTGTCTTAAAGTTCTCTGGTTAAGGAGGGAGAAGGTATTTCATAAAATGTTTCTAACGCCTCAGATGATGACCCTTCAGAGCTGCCCACATATGATTTACGTTTATGGTGGTGTCAGTGCTATGACAATACAAGGATGGAGAAGGATGCTTTCCATAGTTGCATGAATGATGGGACAAACTGCAGGAATAATAATTCTGTTGCTATACATTTGGCACTATGTTTGCACCCCTTACTTACCACTTCAGTTTGAAATGTATCATCGTCCTCTGATTGTCATCTGTCCCATTCTGCAATTAAAAATAAAATTTGATGGTGGAAGGACCTAAATAAGAAAGATATTAATGCTGATTTAGCCTTTATAGAGAAAATCCTGCCAGTAGGTAAATCAGTCTTAACTCTGGTGATTTACTGGTGTATTCCTGTGGGCCTAGCATGCTGAGCTTGCCCACAGAGCGTTTTAGTATCTCTGTAACTGAGTTATCCTTATCAAAACCAACCTATCCAGTTTGCATCGCGGCCATAAAACTAATCTGTAGGCTACTGATTCTGACTTATCTCTGATGAGTTTCTTCACAATACTCCTGACACCAGATTTGAAACAATAGTCACCAAAGGGAATTGCGAGCTCCCAGCAACAATACATCACATTCTTCTAGAAACCTTTTCCAGCCTGGATAGTAGCCAGCAGGCTTTTATGCTAACTTTTCATGAACAATTACAATATATTTTTGAACAGCTTCAGAGGTTATCGTGTTACAAGCATCATTTTGATCAGTATTCTCAAAGCACTTTTCACCCAAACCTGAGGGACAGATGTTTGTTTTTCTGAGATGTCCTCAATTTGCCTTTTCTGCACTGGAGTAAGGACTTCAAAGTGGGGTCTGGTTAAGTCCTGTCCTGCCTTTTTGGCTGAGGTACACTGATATTCCCCAAGGCAAGTCATGTTAATGTCAGGCTGAACTAGCAAAGCACGTGTAACAGTATATGGGTAGCTTGAATTTGAGATGGTATCCTGCCCTTTGTAAAAATGCGACTTCTTGGCCAAAATGCTGGTAAACATGTTAAAGGAACATTCTTGAAACCCATTGTTTCCGAAAGTCAAACTTTCTTTTGACCAGCTGTGAGATGGAGTAGCCTGCATGTACGTGCCGTGTCTACCAGCGTGATGAAAGAATGGCTGTTCGCAGGACAGGATTCGCATGTTAATCCAGAAGTCAACTTTGTCTTTGAACAGGAAATATAAATGTCTTTTTCAGCTGGTGGTTTTTGGATTGAGCAATCAAATGGTGGTTGCCTTCAAAGAAGAGAACACTGTTGCATTCAAACATCTCTTCTTGAAAGGATACATGGACAGAATGGATGATACCTATGCTGTATACACACAAACAGATGTCTATGACCAGATATTCTTTGCAATAAACCAGGTAAGGATTGTCGCTGCAATGTATACAATATATATGCTCTTTACCTGGGTGCCTTTTCTTCTTCCATCTTCCCTAATGGTGTCTGAAATTGAACTTCTGTGCCCGTTGCTTAAGACTAGAATGTTGACTCATTCAGGTTTTCTGTCACTGCCAGAGCATTGTACTTGTGGTGACATCCTTAAAGCTAGTCAGTATACTAATTCTGCACTAAATGCATGCCTTGGATTTGAGCCAGAGTTCTTTGCAAGTAACAAATTAGGCTTTCTAGTAAGGACTGTAAAGAGAAAAAGAAAAAAAAAAAAAGGCAAAAAGGTATTTATGTCCAAATCCTGCACTTACTGTTTTTGTCAAATACCTTGAAGTATTTGAGGACTCAGCTGTAGTATGGTGTAGGTTTCTGTTGGCTGTAGTATGGTGTAGGTTTTTCTGAGTTCTTTAGGTGACCTTATAAATAAAAAAGGTGGGTTATGGAACAGATCCAGACACTATTGGTTTGTTGTTTTTTTTCAGAGACTAACAGTTTTGATGCCATCTATGTTGGTTTGTCTGTTTGTTCTGAACTTCAGTACTTACAGCTGCCCAACATTTCTGTTGGAAACCATGCTTATGAGAAGAGGGGAGCAGAAGAGACAGCTCTGGCCGTGTGTCAGCAGTTCTACAAGCGAGGAACCATCTGTCCTGGAAATGACACCTTTGATATAGACCCAGAGATTGTGACTGGTAACAAACCTAATATATTGTTTTAGTTCTTTGGGAGGAGGGACCGCAGATTTCTCATGAATTCTTATAAACGTCCAGTATGGTATAGTCCTATCAAATGATCTATATTGAACTTACTACCAGCCAAAACTGGCAAGAAATATACTGTGTAACTAACCTCTAGCCCTCACTTCCAAGCTACAGTCCTTTATGTCTACTGCCACAAAACAAGTGATGAGCCGTTAGCAGTGATGACCATCTAATAAGAGTGTTACAGGCTAATTTTGGAAGCCTTTCCTGTGAATTCACGATGAATAACTTGGCTGGTTCAGGGAAGCCAATATATTTGTCAGCTGACTTCCCAAATGACTCCTTACTTAAGCATGCTATCTTGCCTGGTGTAGTCAACGGCTCTTTCCAGCCTCAGGAGTGGGAAAGGCAGATTACAGCTAAAGAGCGCAATAACCCATGAGATAATGTTGTGAGTACTTATCCATTGCAGACTGCTTGTACATTGAGCCAATGATGCCATTAGACAACACAACAGTGGGAAAGCACAATTTGAATTTCACTCTGGATTTCCACAGGTGAGGAGGAATCAGCACCTCCTGTAGTGAGGTATTCGTGCATTTTCCCTGTGAAAAGCTAATGCAAAGCTCTGTTGCAGACTGGTGACGGTGCGGCTTGTGTTCAGTCTGAAGGCGATCAACCTCCAGACCGTTCGTCACCACGAGCTCCCTGACTGTTACGACTTCACTCTGACGGTACGTGGAAGCCTGCCACGTGTCTTTCTGTTCAAAAAGAGAAATCGTTCCTGCTGGTTTACCATGCACAGTCAGTGCAGATGTTTTCTGAGGAGTGTTGGGCACCATTGGCTGGTGCCTGGTGGTGTCTGGATTACTCTGTCGTGTCTTAGTGTACCCTGTAAATAACCACCAGTTGTGGCTCTGGGAGGTTAAGCTTTGAGTGCATGTGATGTGGAACTGAAGCACTTGCTTGGCTTACAGCCTTTTGTGCTCTAACCCATCTGAAGGACAACGAAAGCATAGACCTCTCATCTTTAGAGAGATGCTTCTAGGAAAGGTTTTGAGATCACAGAGGAACGAGGCTGTAGTTTAGAAGAATTTCACCTAGTGTCTAGTTGATCAAGCAATTTGTGGCACATACATGGTTCACCAGATTTGTCTTTCACTTTGACAGCATTTATTTGATTAAACTGGAATTACGTTAAGCTTAAACAAGTTTCATAACTTCTCCCCTAGGAAAATTATTCCGAATCATTGTGCAAGCTTAGCAAGAGAGTGTGCTACATATGTAATGGTTTAACTTTAAAAAGACATTTTTAATGCAGATAGTGTTTGATAATAAAGCACACAGTGGAAGAATTAAAATAAGTCTAGACAACGACATAGCAATCAGGGAATGTAAAGACTGGCATGTTTCTGGATCAAGTAAGTGACATAAATGTGTTCAAATTTTCATGCTAAACTTTCACCACACTAGCACAATGTTTGTTAACTTTATTCATTATTAAAAGATGAGGCACTATGGACATACATTGTGTAGAGGGTGTGCTCTAAATCCTGATTTTCTAAGGAAATGTTGTTCTTCAACCCCAATCTGAAATTCTGGGAATGCAGCCACACTAACACTTTCCTTGCAGTTCTCGAATCTTGCACCATTGATACCGTCTAACTGAAATTTTTCCACACCTCACTGTGCATCCTTCTAGCTTTGGCTGCTGAACTTACACTGCTCATTGCTTAAGGTAGGGTTGTGAAGCATTCTTTTAGCACCAGGCAACAGAAGGACACATGATAGTGGTGGAAAGTTGAAACTGATTCACTCTTAACTCAGGACTTAGCACCGAGAAAGATAAGGATGCACTGTTGCTAAGGCTTGCTAGAGTGGAATGGGTAGAAGTGCTTCTTACTGCTACTTAAATGCTGTTTGGCATGTATTTGGGTGTAACTGAGATGCACAGTGTGGTTAAATAATCTCTCTTGAATAGTTACTCACAAGTGCACCCTTTGTGGCAGCTATTTGGTTTGGTCAAAAAACATTGAGATCTTTTCTGATTAGAGAAAATAATCTCTTTGAAAGTCATAAGCTTTCCAAGACTCTATATTCCACTTGTTTTTAATTTTTTGCTGAAGTAAGCAATAGGATTAATCAGGTCCATTTTTCTACTTTGCCACTTTCCCCTTTGCTATGCCTACGTTAGGAAATGAAGAGCTGGTAGTGAAAAAAGAGAAGTGTTTTGTTTTGTTTGTTTTTTTTATGATCCAGATTGGAATTAATTTTGGGGAATTTAATGAAATGCATCACAGAGTACAAACCACACCACTTACACAAACTCATATTCCATTAAACACTCTTTATTGATGAGCACTGCTAGCTGCCATGTTATAAATGTGCACCAGATGGCATGCTCCCTCTAACAGATTGCTAGTGCAGCAGTACCAGAAGGTTTTGATACCAGGCTTCTGTAATAATCCACATTTGATATCTGTGTAGATTGCCTCTATAACAGTTTTCAAAATCATCTCCTGAAGTACCCTGTATTATTTTCTGAAAGCCAAGGAAAATTACAAAGGTAATGATTGCAATTGGACAATAATAACTTGTTGCTGTTCTGGACTACACTGCAAAACCAACTTCAATGGCAACACTATATGTGTTAGTGACTTTGGTATAGGCAAGAGGTAGGTGGGCTTTTTCTGAGTAGTGCAGTTTGTGAAGTCACCCAGAACTTCAGTATCCCATTTTAGAGAATTACTGCATCTTCTTGCAAATCTAGCATTTATTTGTTTCATTTTTTTTCCTTAAACAATGACTCTTTTAGCATTAAAAATCTAATCCTTACACTGTCTCATCTAGTTCCAGCTATATGATAGGTATAAAAACAAAAAAGAGGTCTAGTGGCAGTTTTGGTGCCAAATTTGACCTTAGTTGATCAAGAATGTGAATTTTAGTAACGTTAAGAGATGGAGAACTCACGTCTAGCTCAATGTTGGTCTTGGATAGCTGAGCAGCAGTGCAAATTATCTGCACTGCTCTAGCACGGAAAACTTATCTGATAGTCAAATACTGTTCTGGAAGAGAAGAACATGTTGTAAAATTCCTGGGATTTTTTTTTTTGTCAAGTTCTGTCACTTCAAAGGCCATTCCAGTGCTTGTAAAATGGACAACTCCCACCTCTAATTCTGCAGGGCTGTAAGAAATGCTTGTGCTCTGGTTTATTTTTAATGTGGTATCAACCTTCCTAAGTTAACTGAAGTGGTATCTGTAGTGCTGATGCACTTCTGTCTCATAAAAATATGTCAGACAAACTTTTGCGGGAAATATGCTAAGATTTTTTCTTAATTCAGTTGTATAAACATAGTTAACATCAAAACTTGATTCTTACTTCAATACGCAAGATGGTTGACAAGATGAAATGCATCTGATTATAAGCATGTTCGTTTTTGTTCTTGCAGTACAGAAGAACACTCATTACATGATGATCTTTGATGCTTTTGTTATATTGACTTGTCTAACCTCATTGATCCTTTGCACACGATCAGTGGTTAAAGGAATTTGGCTCCAAAGGGTGGGTATAACTCCTTCCTTGTAAGGTCTTCATGTCTTGTGTAAGTCTGACTAACTTTTTTCTTTCCTCCTTTCCCCTAGGAATTTGTAAGCTTTTTCCTATATTACTACAAGAAAGAAGTATCTTTCAGTGATCAAATGGAATTTGTCAATGGATGGTACATCCTGATTATCATTAGTGATGTCTTAACTATCGTTGGATCAACTCTAAAGATGGAGATACAAGCCAAGGTAAGATTTTTACACTGTCAGGTGGAAGTAAAATTGATTGTTTCTGTCCCAGCTAGGTTTTAAAATCTCTTGGAGGACTTTATCACAGAATCACAGAATGGTAGGGGATGGAAGGGACCTCTATGGGTCATCTAGTCCAACCCCCTGCCGAAGCAGGGTCACCTACAGCAGGCTGTACAGGACCTTGTCCAGGCGTGTCTTGAGTATCTCCAGAGAAGGAGAATCTACACCCTCTCTGGGCAACATGTTCCAGTGCTTTAGGCTAGCTATGCTTGATTCTGAATGGCATGAAATTTTAAAACTCTATCCTGTCCTCTGGAATTATAACTGAGATGTGTTCTTTCCAGTTGTGAGACTTAAAAACTCCAAATATCACTATATATTACAGATCTAATTATCTTCGCTCCTTTGTGACTCCAAGGAATAAAATGAACCTCGTCTCTGAAAGTTTAAGACTGTTGACTTCCTCTCTTCCCCATTTAGGACCACTTATATTTGCTTATTTGATGGATTTTTAAAATTTAGCATTTAACTTTCTGTTCTCCATTTAACAAGTGTTTAAATAGCGCAGAGACTGTCTCCTTAAACATTACTTTGTTGCTTTCCCAGCTTCTGGTTCCCAGCTTGTAAGTAACAGCCACAGCCAGGTTCTAGGCCTTCAATTTATAAAATAAACTTGATATAGGAGAAAAAAAATCTTTTTAAAACATATTACGTGCACCCAGAATTAGGAAAGAAAAAGCATCACAATATGCTATTCTGAAGCACTCTGAATATTCAGATAATGTTGTTCTTCACCAAATCTCTAGCAGACTTTGAAGTGTGACATTGCAACACAACAGACTTTGGACAGTAATGATGAAAGGATGGGTCTGAAATCCATCTGGTGACAGCTTGACTATCATAAACAACCTGTACAAATTGCCCTATCTCACCCTAGGGACTATAAACTCAGTTCTTAGGAGTAGAAAGAAGCTATAATGAAGTTGGGTAAGAGAAAAGATAACTCCATCCTGCTTTGGGAAAAGCAAAGACAAGAACAAGACTGCAGTAAGATATTGCATTTGGGATTCTGGTATATATATAAATACATCTATTTATATACATCTCTTTTCTAAGAGACCATTTTACTAAAACTCTTCTCTACAGGTACATCGGACTTCATTTTGCAAGCCTTGTGGACCATAATAAAAAGACCTTGTTCCACGTTACTGTGTAAAAGTTAATGACTGAATAACAAGTTCACATTAAATAGTCACCAAAATGTGTTTGTTGTCAAGCTGTAAATGAATTATGCTAATACAAAAGACTAGCCAACTCTTAGAGAATAAAACCAGAAAATAGTGAAAACTTCTTATTCAAGTGAGCTGTCATGATCCATTTCAGAGCAGAGCTGCAGTTCAGGGAACAGGGTATGTGCTAACTCAGATGAAAACAGGCCAGTATGTACAGGTGGAAAAAACAAACAGTGAAGTGCCAATAAAATATAAATGAAGTTCTGGTTAGAATTAATTAGAAGCTAATTAGTCTTCTCCTTGATAGCTTTCTACACCTAACAGTTCCTGGCTACCTAACAGGATCTTCCTTAATATTTATCTGAGTTCTGCTGACAAGTCATGGTGTTTTTAAAAATTGCTTTGCCTACGTACTGGAAGAACCTGTGGTTCTGAAGTCACATCTACACTGTCCATTGGGGTACAGTGGAGGGATTCCCAAGCTGCTCTGGGGAATCTGTCAGCGCAGATTCCAGAAGCAGTTGCTGCAGGTCTGGAAGCAGCATCAAAAAACGTTTGCAGTGCCACTCTGCAGGTCCTGGTGAGCCAGATAGAGAGGGGCCATCTCGGCACCTGCAGAGGCCTTGCAAATGAAGCTTGTCTTGTCAGAATCTCTTTTACAAATGGCCATATGTGAAGGCGTGTGAAATGAGTTACACTTGAAAGTGCCCTTGCTCTTCGGTGGGGCTTCTGCTTTCCAATGCATATTGCCCCAAACTAGTTTTTAATAGGAGAGGTTGCCAAGGGAAACAATTATTCTTAACAGATCTTTGTAGGAATAAGAGCAGCAATTTAGAACCTGTCAGTTCTTATCTTATTTTTTTTTTCCCCTTTCTTTTTTTTTAGAGTCTGACAAGTTATGATGTCTGTAGCATACTCCTAGGAACATCCACGATGCTTGTGTGGCTTGGAGTCATTCGCTACCTAGGTTTCTTTCAGAAGTATAATGTAAGGATCTCCTGGGATCTTCGTGCTGTTGGTATTTATTCTGTTTGTTGCTATAAGAGGCCTGGAAGAAATGCCTGGTTGAATTCTAACTGTTCGCATTGCTTTGTGCAGCTTCTCATCCTAACGCTGCGAGCAGCATTACCCAACGTCATGAGGTTCTGCTGCTGTGCTGCTATGATCTACCTGGGCTATTGTTTCTGTGGATGGATTGTACTGGGACCTTATCATGTGAAGGTAATATACTTAACATGAAAAAAGACAACTTGAATAACAGAATGGATTCCAAACAAATGAGAGATTACTACTTTTGTCTTCTAAGTTTCCATGTCAAGGCTTCCCTTAAAATAAAAATAGTGCATCTTCAGCATGATGCTGCTCTGTATGAGGAGCCTGACTTCCATGACTCAGTCGGACTTTCCTCGAGTTATGAAAGCTCTGAGTCAGAAGTAGAAGCTGCCGTGACTCCCAATCACATGCTGGTATTTTGAGAAATAATTTTCATCTTGCAGAACACCGGTGTCAGACTAAAGCTTTGGAGACTTTATCCTTTTCCCTTTTAAAAGTGAAATTGGCATATCTGAATTGAATGTGTATGTGTACAGGGAGTGACAACCTTTTGCTCATTCCTCAAATGTTTTACTGTTTGCATGTTGTCATACCCTGGGTGTACAAAGAGATCCAAGGCAGTCAGTCATCAGCTGTGGATCTTCTTCATGTTATGTACAGTCTTTGGATCCAAATAAAGCGGCGACGGATGTCCTTGTCTTCTTCCCCCCTCTCTAGTTTCGCTCTCTGAACACGGTTTCCGAATGCCTTTTTTCATTGATCAATGGAGATGACATGTTTGCCACCTTTGCAAAAATGCAGCAGAAAAGTTACTTGGTTTGGTTATTCAGTAGGATCTACCTCTACTCCTTCATCAGTCTGTTCATCTATATGGTGCTGAGTCTCTTCATTGCACTCATTACAGATACGTATGAAACTGTCAAGGTGAGCATGGACTCTTCGTTTGGAATAAAAATGCAAGATTGGTGCTATCAAGGCTCTCATCTCCCTCAATATTTTGACTTGCAGTGCATGCCAATTTAAAGAATAAATACAGTGGCTACTTTTGAGGGTGTAGGGTGATGACAAGAGGTTTTAATCCCTCCCTATGTAATTTTTCTTACAAGCCTGTCTGATTTCCTGCTCCAACAGATGATAAATACCTGCTAAAAAGCAGTAATTTCATATTCGGTTCTGTGAACCTTCTAATTTCAGACTTGAGCAATATCTTAAAAGTAGTCTGGGGAGGATTTGGGTTATGGTATGTTTTATCCTTTTTAAAGGTTTAAATAAATATCAATTTATAGCACTACCAAGATGCTTTACAAGATGGCTTTCCAGAGACAGAACTTCAGAGATTTATATCACAGTGCAAAGACTTACCAAGCTCTGGCAGGTACCGGTTAGAGGAGGAGAGTTCTGCATCTCTCTTCTGTTGTTGTAAAGGTACGTACCTACATTAAAATCATACATCAAGGTATATGCAAAAGCAACACACCACAAAATGTCCCTGGTATAATGTTTATGAAGAGTACTTAAATTTTTCGGGGTGGAGAGGAAAAAAATACCTCACAAAAATTGCAAATTATTTCTAGTGCTCTAGAATGGAGCACTTTACCGAAATGTCTGCAGCCAACAAACTCCTTAGGAGAGGTAAGGCAACTTTTAAATTAAGAATCGCTTAACATATGAAAAATAGTACAGCAAGTTAGATAATATATACAATAACTTGGGAACCCCATATGTGTAATATTCAAGCATTAACATTTCCTGTACTCACTGCAATAGGCAGGACCTACAGAACTCATTCAGTGTCTTCTCATCCACTTTTTAATGGTACAGTAAGGTGTCCTAACTTAAATAGTAGCAGGCCTGAAACATAGGGAGAAAATCAGCTTGCCAAGGTTTTAAGACAGCATGCAGTTTGAGGTACTATCACAGCGCCTGGAAAAGTATTGCCTAACTTCCACTATGGAGAGCTCAATGCTTCAGTTATTTGGGGTTTTGTTTCTTCAGGAATACCAATTGCAGGATACGTGGTTTATATTTAACCTGGCTGGCAGCAACTCTGAGTCTCGCTTGCTGAAGGCTCCCTTGGTGGGGGAGTCTTTAAATATTTGCAGCTTGATTAAAAAGATCAAAGGCATTTGCAGGTCCTTGGCATTGGGCTTTTCTGGCATGCTATATTGTTATATGCCAGGCAGAATATATTTCCGAGGGGGAGGAGATGGAGACATATTTTGGAGCAGGGAGAGAACAGAGCCTGCAGTGAGCCAGTCCAGAGCGGAGAGCTGCTGTTCTGACCGAGTGCCTTACTGCAGATGAAAGTATGGGCTGAAGCAGAGCAGGGCATCTTGCTCCTGGGTAAAGGGCACGGAAATGTTAATATTTCCTTCTCTGCACACACTTCTCAGTTTAACAAGGCAAGAAACCCAGCGCGAGGTGGGACAGGGTGGGGATGTAATACTTTTCCACCGATCGCGAGGTGAGGATCAGGATTCCAGAAGAGCATTTGAAAAGGAAAACTTGGTTACTCTCAAGCAGCATGTTCTTCAGGAGCATTGGGCAGCCAGCAGCACCCTGGGCTCGAACGGAGCTGTAGGTGTTTCAATGCCTCGTTTCAGAGCCTTGTTTCCTAAACGGATTACCTGCTCTTTAGTGATTTTTGTCCTGGTGCCAAAAGTCTTGGTCCATGTGCATGCCTAATAATATGCATGTTAGTGGTACAGACTTTTTTTTTTTTTTAATTTGGAAATAGTGTGTTTCTTTCTCTAGAAACTAGACCAGTAGCTGACTTTGCAGTTGCCTGTAAATACTGGACATTGCTCCTTTAGCTCTGTTGTGTGGCCATCTGGTTTTACTTTGAAACAAATGATCTGTAGGAAGAAGTATCTTGAGCGGGATGTTGCGTTATCAGTTCTATGGCTTCCGCTCCTTAAATAGTCATACAGTCCGGCAGGACACACAAGGCTTCTCTTAATTCTTTCACATATTCAAAATGTTTTATGGTCGTTCATAGCAGTTTCTTATCAGTGTATGTCAAATTAGTAATTAAATAGTTCAGATACATTTTTAAGGCTGCTTGTGCAATGAAACTGTTAGTTTGATGCGTGCACCTGACAACATTTCCACCCTTTCTTGTACAGGTTCTGGTGAACATATTTAATGGATTGTGGGAGTGTATCATGGAGGCTTTAAAGCAGCACACATTGTAAGAACCGGAGAATGGAGCTGGTGGAAAACCTTTTACCTAAAGCCTGAATTTGCTTGTCTCAAAAAACAGCGTAAGTCTGTGGCAGAAGCTTATGATAAACTTACAGTCTTTCTGATTAGGCACTCTCACTGCTAGTTCAGGGGGTTTGGTTTTTTATTAGCTCTATCCTATTTATTTCCTCAGTTAAATTGCGCTAGAATGCAAAGGGCATTAAAAAGCTGTCTGTGTTCAGAGACTTGGCTGGATTATGCAAGTAGACTAGAAATGCAGTAACTTTCAACTATAAATAGAAAGAGTGCTGGACAACTGCAACTTTGAACACCAGCCTAGCCCTCAGTACCGCAGGCATTAGCTAGCTATGGCTGACTCCTCACTAAGTGAACGAGAGCTCACTCTAGAGCCCTCAGCATTTTTTGTTTATCTGCAGTCATAGTAAAAATAAACTAAACCTATGAAATTCTGTGTAATTTGTTTCTGGAGACATTACAGTGAATTGATGCACAAGCCATTGAAATATAACTGAGAGCATAAACTAAATATTTCTATAACATAAGTACCAGTTGATGTAAGTGGCAGTCTCTTCTTGGAGAGGGCAGGGATATGCCAGGCCAGAAGTGAAGTTTGAGGGATGAGTTGAGTGGAGAAATGTCCATGTTCTCTCATATCCAACACTGGGTAGGATCAGTTATGGTCTCCAGCTTCGCAGTGTGCTGACCTTATGTTTGTAACAGAAAAGTCAGACAAAACCACTTTCAAAATACCTATTTTTTTTACTTGAAATCTTTCTCTGGTACGTAAGTCTGTAAACCTGAAGCCTAAACTAAGTTAAATACACAGAAGATATGTTTATGAGAATCATATCTGTCCACGCTTTAGACTACTGACCCAATAACCCTGTACTGTCAGTGGCTGGCTGAAACATTAGGTCTTGTAAAAGTTCAGTTTTGACAACTTAGTTTATATACTTTGTTGATTGTGATGGCATTTCATGGATGCCTTATTTTCTATAGTCTGTACACTCTGGGAGCAGGATAGAAAACCAAAGGGAAGCATAATTTAGATAATTTGCATTTGTGAGCAACATTCCTGTAGCTGTGTGTGACGATGTATAATGCTGTGCACAGAGGTGGTGGACACTATACATGTTCTGTCTGAATGTTTACACATTGTAAATGTGCTCCAATAAACACTTCCAGCTGCAGTAAGTACTGGGCGTGTCTGTATTCATCTTGCAAGTAAATATGTTGCCAGGTTAATACAGGAGCTTGCTTTTTTTTTTTTTTTTTAAATAGCAATATGTGATTTCTGGCATGAAACAGTGTGTGGAGTGTGTGAACTTGCATTTCCTGTAGTCAAGACAATTCCTGTGGCCCCTGGTGAGGACCTGTTCCCAGATGATCCTGTTTAACAGCATTTCAGAGTTTGCCATAGAAACAAATAAGCAGTTATTAAACCTTACACTAAAAATGCTCCTGTGCATTACATGAAGTTCAAATTCAGCAAAGGCAAACCAAATGCAAGGCGTAGGCGGAACAGATTAGTGACAGTATCTCAAAGTTTCCTGTGTTGAGGTCCTTGTCTTCCACCAGTCACCTAAGATCGAAGACTTTTGAAGCTTTTCAAGGAGATTCAAGGCAATCTTGCCTGGAAGAGCAAATAGTCAGTGACCATGTTTTATGCTGACACAGTGAAGTCCTTACGGATCTTTGACAACGCACAATATATAATGTGCGCATCAGTATCATACAAAATAGTTTGTGTAAGGAATTCTGACAAGGATGGCAAGCACTTTAAGATCACTGAAATGCAGAAGGATGACTGCTTAGCAAGGCTTTTTCATACAGAGTTAAGAGAAAGCTAAGATTAATAATTTGCTCAAGATGCAGGTGCGTTTTGTAAACAGCTATGGAATACTTTGTTTGACAGTACAGTTATAAGGCAAGTAGTAGTCCGATTTCATTTAGAAAAGGGGCAGAGCATATGCTTCATCACTGTTAACTTATGAGATTGGCAACAAACTTCAACGAAATTTGTAAGAGCTCTAAAATAGCAAATTCTTGCAAACTTTGCTAGCAGCAGGGAGAAATCGTGTTAACGGAAGCCCGCAGTATGAGCATAAGACATGGAAAGCTACCATGGGTGACCCCAAGGCAGAAAAAGATACTGTATATAGATTCTTTCAATTCCTAATAGGAGAAATCTTCCACTGAAGACTGCTTTCTGTTGCCTGAAGGGCAAACTTCTCTGTGAAGCTTGTTTTGCAGTGCAGTCCCTGTTAGACTCTTTAAGTAATGGCCTGTGCTTGTGCTACAGCTAAAAAGTCAACCAACTGAGACGCAGAAATGCAGTGGAAAGCCACGCTCTGTTCCTTCATCTGGACTACACAGCTTTCCATTTAGCATGGGCAGGGTCACAGTCTGAAGCCAGAGAGGGCTATCTAAAAGTAGAAGAAGGATGTGTAAAGCAAAGACTAGGATGGGGTGGGAGGAAAAGAAGGGACCACTGCTTATGAAGTTAGCTGAGCGGCAATTGCATGTTTCTGGCTATGGGCGCAGACTGTTACGTGGGGAAAGAACAACAGTACCCTGAAAGGTTACTGCCCTACACCTGATCAAAATGTCCAGCTCTGACCAGAAAAATAAATGCTGTTTGTATTGCATATCTGATACCTATATTTTGTTTTTTAAGAAAACAGACACTCAAATATGTACTGTTTGCTTTGGTAGTGCTGCTGGCCATCTGAGTGCTTGCTGTTCACATTTCTGACCTGCTTGGTCCTTGGTGTTCAGGATCTTCATCTGCTGAAGTATACAGCTTGCCTGAGAAGCAGCTCAGGCAGCCCACTGGCTGCTTTTGAGATGAAGTGCAGCTCTGCCAGTATACCTGTGCTGTGGCTGCTGCTGGTGTATGTGGTGAGGCTTTTAAGTCTCATTTTGTGTCAATATATGATATGCTGGTTATGGCCTTGCAGAGCCCGGAAGTGTGGCAATGGTCTGATTCTGAAAAACTCCTTGTGACTTCAACAGTATCAGCGGCCTCAACAGTATCAGCAGAGCTAGTAACGCCCGTAAAGCTGCATCCTGGAGACATCGGTATCTTCACGCCGATGCAATCAAGCAGGCACAGATAGGACTGTAAAATGCAGGTGGGGAGAGCAAAGCAGCAGACAAAGCTGCAGATAACTCGTACTTAAACACGCCATCCAGGAAAACAGGGCCTTCGGTGCTGCCCAAGCAGGTGTGGAGGGGTAACGGGGTTCTCTGTTCTGTTTCTCACGGGGCTCTGGAAAACGCTGCCTGAAAAATACTGGCGGTATTTCCTCACGAAAACAAGTTGCAGGGTGCTAAACCTGGGTAACAGCTGTTTTCACCCCAAGGGTCATTCCAGCGCCAGCGTTTCGCACACGCTCCGGCAGCAAGATCTTCTTCTCAGCAGAGCTCGGACCTCTTGGAAGCCACACGGAGGGGCAGAGGGAAGCGGGGGCCATACTTGTTTCCAAGTCCCAGTTCCCGTGTTGGATCGAAGCGTATTGTCATGGGCAGGCACACAGCGTGCACCCAAGAGAGGAAGAAATCAAATCCAGACATGCTCATACCTTTCCAAGAAAAAATAGATGTGTAAAGGCGCAATTTCTCTCTGGCAGATGGCGGGGGGCGGGAGGG